TGTAATATGAAGAACAGAGCAATATGAAGGTATAAATGTGGTGTAAAATAACATAATTTCCTTCTAAGTTTACATGTGGATATAATATCTGTTGTGAATATATGTGTGTACATACATATATATGTAAATTTATGTATCAGAGGGAAGAATGTGTGCATTAATTCTGACAGGATGAAAGAAAATTTAAGATATTTCATTCAAACCTACCTTCAGGATATTTTTAGGGTATAAGTGAAATGTCTGCAGTGAACCTTGGCAATTGAGTCCTTCAATCATATCTCATTACTTTCCATATCTCCTCTAATTATTTTCCATATCTCCCCCTCCTCAAATGAAAAAACTAACACCTCTGGCACCATATGAGTTTCAGATATATAAGTAGAATATGGACTAAGTAATAATTGGTAACAAAAGGCTCACTTTAGTTGTGTATTGGTGGCTCATCTTAGCTTCACAGGAGGCTGAAATGTAAGGCTCATGCTTAGAAGGCAGCCTGGGCAGGGAAGTCCATGAGACTCTTCTTTCCAATTACTTATGAAACAGCCAGTTCTGGCTGGTAAATCTCCAGCCTCCAGCAAAAAAGCTAAGGGACAGCACCCAGACCCTGAGTTCAAGCCCCAGTGCCAGTACAAAAATAAAGAAAAAAACAGTCTGAGTTTGTATTCATAGTCCCCATGCTGCTGCTGACACATCTTTTACCAGTTAGACAAGCCTAGATGCCCAGATGCTACCTACACTCTGCACCTTCTCATTCCTCCCAGAGAATGTTCCCGTCTCTTCACAGCTCCTCCTCTTTCCAATCAAGGCACTGATACTGCCAATTGACCAGATTCTTTCTCTGCTTTTGGCACTCGGAGCTTGTCCTGTTGCAGGATAAAAGCAGAATTCTCTGCTGTCTGCAGGGCATTCCCCAGGGACCTGAGCACGAAACCCAAACTTATATAAAATCATATCCTGTTTGCAAACATCATATTCCCTTTGCTTCTCACTAATCTGGGCCTGTAAACCCCAGCACAGCTTGCAAGCCCATTCCTCATCTAAACAAATGCCATAAGCCCCTTTATACTTTTACAACCATGTCAAAAAATAATAACGCCTGCCAATAGTGATGTGATTGGAGTTGCCTCCTCCGAGCCATAAAAGAAGCGCAGAGTCTGTTATCAATTTCTCTAAGTGTATCAGGGGAATTATGGGTCGATTCAGTTCCAAGTTATAAATGACAACTCAAAAGCCGCAGAAGTGTTTGAAGCTGGGAGCTGATGACGACATTATCATAAAAGCCTGCTCGTCCTTGCTTTTGTGGGTTTTTTTTTTCTTTTTTGAGGGAAAGAGGGAGGGCAGGGAATGCTATCAAATGAAGAAGGGAAAATAAGGCTGAGAAATGACTTCAAGATTTCTTCACACAGCAGCAGGTCAGATGGCCAGGAAAGTGATCACTATTTTTAGTAATGTACCCTGAGGAGTGAGAGCTATCTGGTTCTGCCCTGGCTATTGTTTCCAGAGTCTCCTAATTATCTTGTTTTACTGCACAATGGCCAAGCCAGTGCTGGGATATGCATATACTTATATTCTTTTATATTTTCTTGTGGTTCAATCAAAATAAGATAGAAACACAAAGAAACTTGGAAACATTAGGTGCTTGGACAAACTACAATTCTGTAGAGCATATATTAAAGCATCTTAAACACCATGCGTCCGCTGAACTGCTTGACCAATGCACCAATTCCCAGAAGCAATTTTATGGGAATATTTAATAAAGAAGTAGGGGTTTTCTGATTTCATAATGTCTCAGGCTATCTCCTTAAAAGTCAATCAATCGGTCAGTATTTATTAGCTCTATATTAAATCCATCCTGAATGAAGTTATATATTCTAAGTAGCTGGAGTTTACTTAGAACTTACATAGAATGTATTAGAAATCATTGAGTATTTTTGGAAACTGAAAGCAAAGGGTCTACTGTTAGTAATTTGAACCAGAAGTATGCTTTAAGATGAAAGCAATTGAAGTCATTTTCAAACTCTCCAGGGTATGCCATCAGTGGAGCCACTCCAAGTCAATATTGGATTTCTACTGTATAGTCAATATATCTGGGATTGGATTGGAAATGAAAATGTACATTGGTTCAAATCCAGAGGACCTAGAATTTCCACTAGCACTTGCATCAAAATCAGAGATCTGAGGGACTAAGGTGGCTTCTGAATTGTCAAGAACATGATTTGGTTCTTAAAAGCAGAAGCAAGTACAACCTTGTGCAACCCCCGTCCCCCCCAACACATACCACTTTCTCTTACTCTTTCTCTCTCTTTCTCCCTCCCTCTCCTTCCCTACCCCTTCCATCTCCCAGACTTACATTAAATGACCTTAAAAGATATATAGACAAATTTGATGTGGAAAATGCCCCTCTCCGTTTTTCTCAAGCACTAGTGGAGTCATCCTAACCCACATCTCTTGCTTCTGCCTGCCCAAGCAACCTCTACCCACCCCCATTCCCACTGCCACTTGGTTCATCAGGGAGAAACTTCTAGGCACTGTGCTTTCTACTGGATATGCAGGTCAGAAGCAGCAATCACGATGCATTTTGAGTCATGTTTAAGAGTTGGCTAGATCCTTCTGTCTGGAGAATAAGACCTTATCTTGACATGGGCTTAGAACAGGTAAGCAGAAGTATTTCACATTCAAGAGATAGTGAGTTAGAAGAACATCTTGAGTCAGATCTGGGAGGTGAATTCCAAGTATCCATCCTGAGTTAAGCTCTGGGTCAGGAAGTAATTGCCCTTATCAGTGGGCTTTTATTGTTGTTGTTGCTTTGTTTGATTTTTTTGCATAAAAAAAACTTTTTGTAAACAAGGACACAGAATGACCCATTGCAACAATGATACCCACAAAAAGTATATTGGAAACGAACTTTACAACTTCAGGGGGGGGGGGGAGGGGGGGGGAGGGGCATGCAGTTGTGGCAGGTGGGGGAGGGAAGGGATAGTGGGAAGGGGTAACAATGATCTACAAGTAATGTACTCATTGCCTTACTCGTGAAACTGTCACCCTTCTGTATAGCATCTTTACAATAAAATAAAATTTTTTAAAAAGCTTACATTTATAACTTCAAAAACCCTTCTTATTGTTTAAATCATGTTTTACCTCATTGTTTCTGTAAAATTCTTTTTAAAACTATTTTTAACTTCAAATGGTTGTACAACGTAACATGTCTATTTCTGTGTTGAGTGCATTCTATTCTGAGTCATCCCGGCCCTTATTCTCTTCCTCTTCCCCTAAACTAAGGTTTTTCACAACCTTGATTTCCTCCCATCATTGATTCCCACCAAGTATCCATTATCTCTGTTTTCATCTTTGCCTCATTTTTAAGAAAGCAACGATTCTTCCAAAGTAGCAACTCACGAGGAAATATGTACAAAATTCAATAAAATCCATTTTAAAAGTCACTTTATGCTTTCTACAATGATTTTGCAAGCTCCTGACTCCACATGGGGCTTTTGTTAAAATTAGCAAGAATTAATGTGGGGGTGACCATTGTCCCATGTCAAGCGTAAAAAGCAAAAGTCACTAGTGAGTAGCCACAAAAGAAACTGTACTATCTTAGCTGCACTGAATACTGCTCCACGGGAAACGAGGTCTGCAGTCAATCTGGCCAAGATGAGAACTACGGAAGAATCTTCAAAGTTCTCTTGACATGCCTTCATGCAAACAGGCATGCCAATCCCACATTTTCAGTCAGTCTTTCACTGTTAACTACATAACGGAAGGAAATTACTTCACTTCTCTGAGTATTTAGTTTCTCATCTAAAAAGTGGCATGAAAACTAGTGACTATGTTTTACTAGCTTCCTGAACTCAGATGTATATTGATAAACTATAAACTCCAAATGGATATTGATTGCAGTTGCCATACTTCTTTCCAGAGGGATCAAAATCACAGATGAAGGAACAGAAGGATATCCCTCACTAACTCTGCCATCATTAAAATGATCAAATGGTCAGGCAAGATATAAATTTTCCACAAAAGATTTAGCTGCAACAATAATTGTTGAAAACATGATAAATATATCATGAGGTTTGTTTCCTCCCTTCCATATCCAAGAAACCTAATTGAGTTAAATACGTTGGTCCTTGGAAACCTGACCTAGAATTATGCTGTCCTAACATAACCAGGCAAATTCAAACCTATTTTTAGTCTTCTACATTTTAATAGAATAAATTTATTGTGTAATGTCTTATTGGATAGAAGTAAGCCTGGAGTTTAAATTATTTAACATCTCACAATTCCTAAAGTCTATAAAAGTAGCTGTAGGGAAAAACAAATCAATGGGCTCTTTGCAGAGTGACGGTTTGTTGCTGGTAAGGGTTAACTTTAAATAGATTGCAGGTTACAGGGTTTGTTCTAATCATCCACAAAAAAAAAGAAAAAAAATGTAGACATTTTTCTTCATATGTATCTGGATTTGAGCAAATTTGTCCTTGAAATGTGGTATAAATATCCTGGGTCAAAAGGCTTTGTTAATTATTGAAGACAAAAAATGGCCTCAAGGGGCTCACAAAGCAAAAGTCCCATGATGCAAAGCACTTTTTGAAGTTTATTCCATTTCACCAGGAATATAATGTATGTGCATAGTTAGTCTGCTCCCATTGAAATTGAATTCTGCTGCAAAATTGTGTCAAAACCTCTTGCATTAACTTTATTTCTAGGCAGACAAAAGTTTTCAAAGCTGGCTTCGTGTATGTGACCTGTCATACAGGAACTTACAGCGTGGAGGAGGTCCTCGTTCTTGGTGAGTGCTACGTTGCCACTATCTCAAAATTCACCATGATTTTTGAACAAGGAACTCTGCATTTGGCAATTTGCTTTGTAAATTATACTGCCAGTTCTCAAAGCTAATAATATCTTTACTGAAAAGTAATATTAACTAGAACTGAGTAGTGAAACATCAAAGGATTTTTTGAGGCAAGTCTGTGATATTTAAAAGCAATAAACAAAGTCATACTTACCCCCAGTCCACCACAAGGTAATGAGGAAAAATACTTTTGAGAATCATCACCTATAGGGTTAGAAGACATGAAAACATACAGGTTATAAATACAAATATAGTAGATTTAGTAGTGGCATGTATTTATGCAAAATATTATGTCACATGGTAATTAACATTTGACTCAGAAAGACATTAATTATATTGAAGACAAACTTTCAGTAAAGTTAATGTCAGCACAAACAGTCCTATCTATATGGACAGACGGGAAGCTCTCACAGCAAATGAATATAATTGTCACAGGTGAAATTTATTACAGCACATGAATAAAGACATACAAATAAAATTTGGGTCCAATTTTTTAATTAACCTACACATTCATGTTGCCTATTATAATTTCAAAACTTTATAATTTCTGGGCAGTATCTCTGCCATTTACTGAATATATTTCTCCAGTGGTATTTTAAACCACAAGGTTTATAAAACCATACATGGGCATTTTTAACTACTACAAATACTAAAATATTTATCTCAAATGTACTTATTTATTCTGAATTTCTATTTCATTAAGTATTCTTATAAGCTAGAAATAGCTGAATTTTCTTAAGATATAAAGTCAAGTACCCCATAAGCCTTTCAACAACCACAATTTTTTAGACAAAACACTATAACAAAAGATAATCCCATTTGGGAATCTGTATCAATGTAAATATCATAGTGATGTAAATATAAAAATTATCTTCTTTAAAAATATTTGCAACAGCAAGTGGTCATGGCTCATGTCTAGATACTCAGGAGGCTGAGACCTGAGAACTGAGAACTGTGATTTGAGGCCGAGGTAGAAAATTCTACAAAACTCCATGTCTCAAGACTCCATTTCAAGTGGTAGAGAGCCAGCTGAGCTAGCAATGCCGAGCAAATGTCAGATGCTGAGTTGAAAGCCTAGTACAGAAAAACAACAACAACAACAATAGCACAATGACATATGCCAAAATAGTCATTGTGACATTCCCTACAACTGACATTTTATGTTTTTTGTAGTTATTTTATTAGCCTACACTTCACTTTTCTACATTTTCCACTTCATGATTACAGATAACAATGCAAAGAGCTTCTAAACTTCTAGCACTAAAATCTAATCTCTCAGTCAAGGGAGTCTGAAGATACTTAAATTAGTCATTCATCAGATTGGTGATAGAACCAGATAAAAATTTATCTTTCGGGGCTGGGAAGGTTGCTCAGTGGTAGAGCGCTTGCCTTGCATGCATGAGGCCCTGAGTTTGATTCCTCAGCACCACATAAGCAAAAAGAAAAAAAAGCCGGAAGTGGTGCTGTGGCTCAAGTGATAGAGCATTAGCCTTGAGCTGAAGAGCTGAGGGACAGCACCCACGCCCAGAGTTCAGGCCCCATGGACCAGACCCCCCCCAAAAAATTTATCTTTCACCTACACCATTCATGTGTCTTAATAGGTGAAATAAACCACGTGGCCTGTCAATAAAAGTTTACATAGATTATATTGTCAGTGAAAAAGTTTGTTTTGGAAATAGTAAATTATATTAGTTGATTTGTTAAATGTCATTACTAGCAGTTAGAAAATAGCAAAGACAAAAGCATGGACAAAACAGATATATTTAGTTATGTAGAGAGATCATCATAAAAGTGTTAAACAATGAGGCTGTAGGCAGAGACAAAGCACTTGCCTAGCATGCACAAAGTCTTGGGTTCAGTCCCCAGCATTATGAAAGGAAAGACTAACAACAATAAAAGGATGAGACATTACTGGGAAAAATAAAGATAATAAGTCATAATGTTAAAAACTGGAATACTAGAAATCAGTAAGATGCTTCTAGTTAAAAACTGGAATACTAGAAATCAGTAAGATGCTTCTAAAAACTTTAAGACGACAGTATGCAGAAGGTAGATTTCCTTGAGATATTGCTTTTACTTCAAATGTGCTAGACCTGGAGCTTGAACTTAAGGACCAGACTTTTGTGCTCAAGGCTAGGGTTCTACCACTTAAACCACAACTCCACTTCCAGGATAAGGGTCTCATGGACATACCTGCCCAGGCTGGGTTTGAACTACATTCCTCAGATCTCAGCCTCTTGAGTAGCTAAGATTACAGGAGTAAGCCAAAGACAACCGCAAGCTTGTCTTTATTTACTTCTAAGAGTAGGTTGGAGCTGGCATGTTTGGGTGAAAAGTCATGATCCTGGCTTGATATTGCTTTTAACAAGGATATTTTTGTACCCTTGAATATGTTACAAGAATAAAACTATTGGTTACTTGGGAATTCAAATATGTACTCTGATATCTAAAGTTTGTTTTCATGATTATCTAAGAGATGAAAATAATATTACTATATAATAAAAACGTTATGACTAATTAAAAAGACTAAATCTTAAGACAAGGTTGGGAAAACCTTGTTTCCCAACCCTGCTAGCCATATAAGACTGAGAAATCACTTGGTATGTGACAAGATGGACAATCATACTTCTTATTGACTGCTCACAGCCTTCTGCCTGTATTGATAATTTTGTATGTCCTATACTGATATTAAAATATCTAAATAGTCCTTGGTATGAAAAAGGTTCCCTGCCATTGAATTAAGAGAATTAAAAAAATATAAGTGATATGCTTCTTAGGGTAAATTTACTTAGTAATGTTTACATACCAATACAAAACAGACAAATGAGAATTTAAATTTAGTTATATGCAAAATATTTTAAATTTGTTACAATCACTTTTTTTGTTAAGCACTGCATTTTTTTTTATCAATAAAATGGTGTAATTTGGCTCATCACATCATAAAAGGAACTGGTAATAAGAGTGATAGGAATGTTAATGTTAAGGAAAACCTTGTAACAGAAATGATTGGACAAAATGTTTTCAAAATGCCTCCACACAAAGTTAGAAGTATTTAAAGAGATAAATGGTGCCTACTTTACAAACTAATACACAGATATCTAATGACTGATAGGTCCAGGCACTAAATTTTCATTTAAATCCTTCTCCTATCTCTAAAATTTAACTATCAAGAGTATAATGATCAATTTAACTCAAAACTGATACCTCTTTCATGTGTTGGGAAGGATTGAGTGAGGTATAGGAGTGAAAGGAATGTATAAAGAAAAAAAAGTCTCGATCATGACTTTACATTCAGAAGTGTCAGCTTCAACCGATATTTAGAAATAAATAAAAAGTCAAGGGGGGGCGGGGAGCGCAGAAGGAAAGTGGTAGAACACAAGAGAGTGAGTAACATTGACAAGAAATGTATTTATTATCTTACTTATAGAACTGTAATTCCTCTGTACATCACCTTCTCAATAAAATGAAATAAAATAGTTTTTAAAGAAGTAAATAAAAAGACAAGTTAGTTAGTACCAGTTGCTTACTCCTATAATCCTAGCTACCCTGGATGCTAATATCTAAGGATGGTTGTTCAACACCTGCCCTGGCAGGAAAGTCTGTGAAACTCTAATTAACCACCAAAGAGCTAGAAATGGAGTTGGTGGCTCAAATGGTAGACCATGAGCCTTGAGCACAAATGTTTAGGGAGAGTGTCCAGGTCCTGAGTTCAAACCCCCAAGACCAGCACTAATAATAATAATAATAACAATAGACAAGAGTTCAAATTTTAGAAAAAGCAAAAAGTAACTTTTAAATAGAATGGGATAATTCACTAGAACTAAGAAGACTATCAACTAACTACATGTTTGAATCCAACCAAAAAGTCCAAGTTGTTCAGATGTATTTTCAAAGTTGACCTCATGTTTGAACTAAGGCTTCACAAAAATGCAACAGATGAGTGTATTCACAGTGTTGCCCAGATCACTGAGCAGTATCTGTTATCTATGAAATTCTACATGTATATAAGATCTAACTCTATCGTCATCAATTACAAAAATATTATTTCTATTAATCAAAATTAATCAGATGAAAAGTGAATTTATTTATTGTAGTGTTAGAAACTGAATCAACAGTACTTAGTACTTTCACCATGATTGCACATGTACCTTTGTCAAGTTCCAAATTACATATTGGAATTAATTTTAAATCCATCAATGTTAAAATGATACATATTTTAATATTTTTATTAAAATTGGAATTGTCAAATTTCTTTAATAAAAATAACACTGGCATGTTATAGAAAAGTTTATTTTTGTCCAAGATTAAATTTAATTTCCTTACTAAATAGGTAGGTCTTGCTCTTAAAATGTGGAATATGTGTTTAGTGACATCTTTTAAGAAAGAATATATATGTTTATATTTATAAATTGTTTAATTCTAATTCATTCAAATAAAATCCAAGAATACCTAGTCATATGACTCCATTGATTTATACTTTGGGACCAGAGTTAAAAACAAATCAGGGAAGATTTTTTTTCTTTATTGTTTTTTCTCTTTCTTTTCATTTCTTTCTTTCTTTCTTTTTTCTTTCCTTCTACCTTCTTTCTCTCTCTTTCTTTTTTCTCCCTCCCTCTCTTCCTTCACTTCCTTCCTTCCTTCCTTCCTTCCTTCCTTCCTTCCTTCCTTCCTTCCTTTCCTTTCCTTTCTTTTGTTCTTCCTTCTTCCCTCCCTTTCTCCCTCCCTCTCTGCCTCCCCCCTCTCTTTGCATCAATACTGGAGCTTGAATTCAGGACCTGGGTGCGTTCACTCTGTTTACTTTTTCTAAAGGATGATGCTTTATCTCTTTAGCCATAGCTTCACTCTGGTTTTTTGGTGGTTAACTGTTGATAAGAACTTCATGAACTTTCCTACCCTGCCCATGCTGGTTTTGGACCAAGATTTTTCAGATCTCTGCTTCCTGAATAGCTAGGATTTACAAGTGTGAGCCACTGGTACCTGGATTCTTTTAACTAAATTAAAATTTATTCACATGGACATATCCCTGTGTTTAAATTCTTAAGTATTTTGACTTTATCAAACTATGAAAATTAAAATGTCTAGTTTACTTCATCTTTGTAGTTGGGTGGGTGGGACGATTAATTGATGTTAAAAATATTTATAACAGAGTGCCCACAGCAAAAAAAGAGATGTATTTTATATAAAGGACCTGCACACACAGACATTGTTTTCTTCCAAGATTCATGAGCCAGGCATAGTGGCACAGACCTATGATCCCAATGCTTGGGAGGCTGAGGTAGGAGGGTCATGTGCCTGAGTTGCATAGTGAAACTTTCCCTCAGCTACTACACCTAACCTGACCACATACACATTTTCACACAGGCCTTCACTACATGGATCTGGGGATACGAGGCACTCATTTGTAAAAAGCAGATGGTGTTTTCATAGATAATCACTAACTTTTCCTTGTAATTGTTTTCACCTTGCTTATCTATTACAAGTCATATAAACGTCTCTCAAATTGTTAGGGTCAGTTAACATAAATAATTCATGAAATAATAGTGCACTAATTGAAAAAGTTCAATCAATTTGAACTGACTCAATAAAGTCTGTTTGAAAAAAAAGGACAAGAAATAGTCTTACCATATCCTTGTTCCTAAAGACACCTAAAATATAATCATTTCACATATATTTCTGTGTGACGTACTGTTGTTCAATTATAAAAGGTTATTACAAAATATGATTGTGTCAACTGTTTTTTTTATCTTTTTGTACATTTATTTTTAATCATTGTTACCCTATCCCTCATTATCTCCTGCTAATGCTTTTTTGAATCTGTTGCTTCAACATATTTATATGAAACTTATATAAAGCCCTGAAATTAAAAATTTATTTTGAAGACTTGTACCATTTATTATGTTATTTAATTCCATTAAGTAAGGCATACATTAAATAGATTATTAAAGATTTTAAAAGGTAGTATTCTAGGCATGCATAGTAATAAGTTTTCAATGAAAATAATGTGTACTGTTATCTTTCTGTGTTAAGATCATAGGGAAAAAAACCCTGAAACACACACACACACACACACACACATACACACACATATATGCGCGCGCACACACACACACACACACACACACACAAGAGAAAGTTAAAGATCCATTTGCATAAGTGAATGAAAAACTCCTCTGTCTTTCAGTTTAAGCATATAAGCAAACAAATTGGACAATGCATATAATCCCTATTAGCAAAAACACACCATAAAACTGCCTTTCAAATGGTAGCTAATTTTAAAGTAAACATGCTAGAAAAGACATGCGTTGTCTTTTTCAAGCACAGAAAATTCTTAATCTGCATTGATTTCTGTGGTACTTAACTTGTTCCACAGTGCAAGGCGGTTGGAAAAAAACTGATTTCTTTGTCACACTGTTTGCCAAGTATTTTGAACTGACACTAGCACTGACTAATGATAGTTTTGGAATGTGCTGTTCTCAGTAGAATGGAGGCCCATACAGACCTAGAAGTATCCTGGGGTCCAGCTTCTGTCCATCCAGGGGGCTGGTGCCATATAACAGTGAGTGATGTTCAGAATGAATAAGCTGTATTTCCTCCAGGCTGGCTTTTCGACCTTGAATTCGCTGAAAGAAAACAACAGAAACCCACGGTCCTCCACTGACAATATTTAGAAGAAAATGAGACTTCGAGTAACATTTAAGATGATTAATAATGGGCTGAGTTTCATCATGCAGGAATGTGACACTGATTTGCTTGGTAAAGGACCATAATAATACATGAAAAATGAGCGTATGCGATGTTCAGATCCAATGGGATTGCTTATGCCTAAACAGACAATTTCACATAATGCATACGCTTTTTGGCATAAAGAGTAAATCTATAGCAAAGAAAGTATTACTTGACTCTTGGAAAACTCACAGTTTCAAAGCAGGCTACAGTTTTCCAATAAATAAATTTGTTATGATCTTATTTTACACTTACTTGAAGAGGTTGCAACAAATCACTTATTTATCATTTACATAAAAATACCATTATAGTTTAATGTATTGAATTATCATAACTATGCAAATTCCTTCATGTGTGTACTTCTTGTAGAGACATTATTCTGAACTGATGTTTCCCAAAGCAGGTCCCCTGGGATCCACAGCAGTTCGGGATCTGTTTATCAACCCAATGGGGGTAAGGTCAGTACATAAATTTAGAGTAAGTATTTAGAAACTTTCAGGGCTATTTGATAGATTTTTCCAAGGTTTTTTGGAATCTAATGAAATCTTCTATGCCTTCAATTTTAATTTCACTTTGTCGTATTTCATTTTAAATGGATTTTAATACAAGTGTTAATTTATGACAGATTGGAAACTAAGCAGGGACGAAAATCACCATGCAACCAGTGACAATTGGGGACATTCTAGACTTGGTCCTTTCACTTTTTTCTTTCTTTCTTTTTAAATTTTTAACACTTAAGAGAGGCAGACATGCACTCCACCTAACAAAGAAAGGTCCTTCCTTTGTGTGGTCATTAAACCTTAATTAGCCAACATGTGAAGTATTTTTCCTAGTCACATTTCTCAGCACATCTGTGAGTCCAATACACCATAAAACTTTTGGAAATTGTCACATTTCCCCAAAACTACATATTTCCCTCAAAGAACATATCACCACAAGCCAGAAAGGTGATATTTAAAGTAGAGAACTGTAGTCAAATTCAAAGAGAATATGTGCAGGTAACGATTTCCTTCCAGGTTAATGACCAAGGTTGCACCAGTTGACTTGAAAACACTCCTGTCTTTTTTTTTTAATTGTTTAAACAGGGATACAGGTTGACCCTTTGCAACAATGAGATGTACAAGACCCTATATAGAAAAACAAACTTTACAATTTAGGTGCGGTGGGGAGGGGGGAGTATAGTTGTGGAGATGGAAGGGAAGGGATGGTAGGGGGAAAACAAAGAGGAGACAACAATGCTTGATAAGAAATGTACTCATTACCTTGCTCATGTAACTGTAACCCCTCCTCTGTACAGTATTCTCACAATAAAATACTTATTAAAAATTAAAAAAAGAAACACTCCTGTCTAAGGACCAGGGCAATCCCAGATTTAGCCTCCCTCCTATAAGGTGATGGGTCTGCTGGCAGACTGCTGAATGTTCTGTGGTTCACTGAGGGGACAGTTGGGGAAATTTCTATATGCAGACACTCAGGGCTTACTGGACAGGAGGCAGAGCTGTGTTTGTCATTAAAATAAATGATCAGGTCACAGTGAGGGAGGAATAGAGGATGTCTAAAGGGCAAACAGAAGAGTGATATAAAGCAGAAACTTCTAAAGATTGCCTGTATGTGCCAAATTAACAAACAAATACTTGTGGAATTTTCATTGCTATTGTCTTCAAGTGCCCTAATTTTGACATGATTACTCAGCATTGTATAATCTGATTTAAATTTCCAGGGAAAAAGAATATTATTAAAGAAATTACAGGGGCTGGGAAGGTGGCTCAGTGGTAGAGTGCTTGCCTTGCATGCATGAGGCCCTGGGTTCAATTCCTCAGCATCACATAAGCAAAAAGAAAAAAGCTGGAACTGGTGCTGTGGCTCAAGTGGTAGAGCGCTAGCCTTGAGCTGAAGAGCTGAGAGACAGTGCCCAGGCCCAGAGTTCAGGTCCCAAGATCGGACCCGGAAAAAAAAAAAGAAATTACACTCAAGTTGGTAAGATGGGAATTCTCCATGAAGAGGACCAAAGTAAATGTAAGGATGGCTTTGTGGTCAGTTGTTATTCAGATCAGCACACCAATATTGTACTATATGCTTTACATATAAACATGGAATATGGAAAATTTTCTAAAGATCAGAACCACTAAAGAAGGAGAATGACAATACAAAATAAAATGAGCAGTAGAAAGTCGAAAGTCACCATGATAGGGAAATTTTAAATGCAAGATTTCAGTGGCTGGAAAATCCTTGGAGATACTAATGGTAACTCCATGTTTGAATCATCTGAAGTTGGAAAGAAAAGAGCACCAGAAAGCAGACTGTGACAACTAGCCTACAGTGTGTAATGAACACTGAAATAAAAGGGATTTTTTTTTTTTTTGGTCCGTCGTGGGACTTGAACTCTGGGCCTGGGTGCTGTTCCTGTGCTCTTCAGCTCAAGGCGAGCGCTCTACCACTAGAGCCACAGTGCCACTTAGAGTATTCTAGTGGTTTATTAGAGACAAGAGTCCACATAGAGCTCCCTTATGACCCAGCAATCCCACTTTTGGGCATTTACCAGAATGATCACAAACAAGACCATACTACAGCTACCAGCACAACTATGTTTATTGCAGCATTATTTACCATAGCTAAGATATGGAACCAACCCAGATGCCCCTCAATAGATAAATGGATCAAGAAAATATGGCATATATACACAATGGAATTCTATGCCTCCATCAGAAAGAATGACATTGCCCCATTTGTTAGGAAATGGAAAGACTTGGAAAAAATTATATTAAGTGAAGTAAGCCAGGCCCAAAGAAACATAGGTCCCATGGTTTCCCTTATTTGCAATAACTAGTATACATCTAAGACAAGCAGAAACTGTCAGACAAGTTGATGTTAGGCGAAATGAACCCCAAGATAAGGATTCAAATGCTTTTTTTTCTTTCTTATGATTGTTTCCAACATATTTATAAGATGATTTCTTTGTTGCTTTGTATGTACCTCCCCCAGGGTATAAGCCCTGCTTTCAGTGTATTTGATGTTGTTATAATTTGTGGAGGGGAAGGGCAAAAACAAACTGTTTAAATAGGGATACAGGTGGACCCATTACAACAATGAGATATACAAGTTGTTATGTTGAAAAACGAACTTTACAACTTTGGTGGGGTGGAGGGTGGGAGGTGGGGGTGGTGAGAGGTTAGTGGTAGGGGGGTGTGGGGGTGGGAGGGCGGAGAGGGGAAGGATGGTATGGGGAAACAAAGGAGGAGGCAACAATGCTTGATAAGAAATGTACTCACTATCTTCCGTGGAATTGTAACCCCTCTGTATGGTATTTTCACATTTTTTTTAAAAAGATTCTCACAGATCTTCCTGTCCAGGCTGGCTTTCAACCAGGATCCTCAGATCTCAGCCTCCTGAGTAGCTAGGATTACAGGTGTGAGCCATCGGTGCCCAGCATAAAAGGGATTTTTAGCTCTCATTTCTATGGGTCTATGACATTCTCCCCCACTATCACATACACTGACAGTGAAACATTGATCATGTGAAACAATGGCAGAGCCTTGTTTTGACTACAGTGCCATCATAAACTTTCCTTGAATTCCCTACCCCTTCTCCTTTGATAGGTCTAAATTGAATGTTTTAAAGCAGTAGTGGTAAATACTTATGTTTCACTCACTACTCATATAAATTTACATATCACATACTTCCACGTTTGTCTCAAGTATTTTTCGTATTTACCCACAATCCCATAGCCTTCCAGCTGAATGATCAATCACACGTTTGAACAATGATCCGGTGACAAGATTCACTGTAATAGACAGTAGCACAAGTGCTAGTGAATCCTGAGAGGATACCTGTTGAACCCACTCATTCGGTGCTAGCCATGAGCATCTGGCCCAGCTTTGCAGCCCTGGCTTATTCTGAGCACCTCTAGACTTCACTTCACCATTAAAATGTACCTGTTCCTAAATTTTTACTTTGTTTTCTCTTTCTTCTTCCTCTTTTACAACCACTGGACTCTCACAAAATATTTTACATTAGCTTATTGAAATATTGTAGTCAGTACTTATTGAAAAACAGTTACATGTGACATGAGATATGAAAAGTATTCTTTTTTATATACCTTTTTTTCTTTTTGGTCCTGAGGCTTGAACTCAGGGCCTGGGCACTGCCTCTGAGCTTTTGTGCTCAAGGCAAGGACTTCTACACACACTGAGCTACTGCAACTCCATTTCCAGCTTTTTGGTAGTTAATTAGAGCTAAGAGTCTCATCAGTTTTCCTGCCCAGGCTAACTAGTAACTGCAATCCTCACATCTCAGACTCCTGAATAGCTGGGATTATAGGCATGAGCCACCCGGGCCCAGTTTATACATTTTTTGAGTCAGAATCTCTTTATGTAGCCCAAACTGGCCTTAAACTCAATATCATATCTTATCCTTCATATATATCTATATATACATATATATATACACATGTGTATATATAAATATATATATAGATACATATATGTACATGTTCTTGTACAAAAGAGTTGCCATACAACAAGTAGTTTATCCTGCTTGAGTTTTGTGATTATAGGTAAATGATACCATATCCCAGAAAGAAGTATTTTTTGGGGGAATACTGGGGTTTGAACTCAGAACCTCCTATTACTGAGCAGACTCTCTACCACTTAAATAACATTCTCACTCTTTTTGCTTTAGCTATTTTTCAAATAAAGTTTCATGCATTTTGCTTAGGCTGGCCTAGACTATAATTCCCCCTATTTAAATAAATAAGTTGACAGGCCCAGTGCTTTTTTATAAGATGAAATCTCACTAACTTTGTTTGCCTGAAGCAGACTCACACTTTGATCCTGCCAGTAGATAGAATTATAAATTTGCCCCATCAGGCCAAGCAAGTACTCCTTTTGTTTCTGCAGCT